GCCAGGCGATAGTCGGTCACTAGTTTTGTAGATTGGCGTGACAATCGCTTCCTCCCAAGCCAAGGGCAGGTTGCTTTCGTCAAGCGACTGATGAAACACCAGGTTTAAATAACTTTACAGTGTGGAGGACGTTTTCTTCAGGATCATTGGATAGACCTTGTCGAAGCCCAACGAATGGGTTGATCTTGTGCAAGGGTTGACGAATATCTTTAATTATGAAGGCCAAGTCAGTTGGGGGCTGCTTGTCAGCACGCTTTGACAAGAGCGGATGTGACGAGGACGCTGGCGATGGAGATTGACACACAGTGTTCTCTGAAAACTCCAGAAACCATTGCTGGGTCACTCGTAGTTTCTCCGCTCCTGTCTCTCATGGGGAACGCGGATGGCTTGCTTCTGCGGCGATGTATCTAGTATTTGAACAGTACAAATTTGTACTTTCGAGCGAGGTCCAGAATGGTGGCTTTTTTTCCTATGGTCCATTGGCGTACTTCTGATTTACAGCGGTTCCGCCTTTTACGAAATACCAGCTAATCTTCTGCATCCCATGTAGTCAGTATTTTGAAAAGACCTGGGACCTTTTTCCCATAAGTCGCCGAATTCTTTTTGTTATCCTGCGTTTCGTCCGAGGGCGTGCTGGTATTTTTGTGTAATCAACTCTGTCAAACAAAACAATTCAGTTGGTGACTGAATATTATCGCAATCATTGTGAAAGCTTCTTCTCCCGTTATCCCCTCGAAAAACGTACAAAATTCAGAGGATTCCACCTTGAGCTGATGGAGTTTTGGAAGCACGCCTGTTTTGTATTTCTGTGGAGTTGGAATCCTGGCATAGACATTGGTAGTACGCTGCTGATTGATTTTAATAATATTAATAAAATTAGAAATGTATTCAACCACTTAGCTCTCCTTGATGTGGGCTCACCCGAATGATTGTATTATAGGTACACGGTGCAAGTAGAATGCACGTTTTGTTGTGCTTAAAATGGGTAAAGATACTCACT